CCTCTTACCTAAAGGGAACCTCGTATTTGGCAATGAATTGGATTCTGGGCAGGGAGGTGACTGCTGGATGCTGAGGGACGGGATGGGCCCGTCCTGCATGCCCTGGGAGCTTGTGAGGAGTGGCAGATGCTCCCCTAGCCCCACCGAGTTGCAGCAAGATCCCCGGGCCATCTGCTGACACCTGTGGAAGAACGTTTGTGAGGCACCGATTTAGAGAAATTGTCACCCAACCAGCCAGCTCAGGGTGCCATCATTGAGTGCCACAGACTGACTGGATAAACAGAAATTTACTTCTCACAGTTCTGGAGGCTGGAAGTCCAATATCAAGGTGCGGGCGAGGGTTGGTTCTCTGGAGGCCTCTCTCCTTGGCTTGCAGACACGGCCTCCATGCTGCCCCTCACGTGGCCGTTCCTCTGTGCACGCCCGCCCCTGGTGTCACCCCTGCTTCTAAGGGATGCCAGTCAGATGGGACCGGGATCCACCCCAACAGCCTCATTGTAACTTCATCCCCTCTTTAAAGATCCTGTCTCCCAAAGACAGTCACATTCTGAGGTACGGGGGTGGGGGGTGTGAGGGTCTTGAATTTTGTGGGGGACACAATTCAGTCTGTGACACACTTTGAAGAAGAAACTGAGGCTCAGAGAAGTACCCGACAGTCCAAAATCACACCACAGGTCAAGAGATGAGCGCTTCCTCTCCTCCAGAGCCCTTCTGAGAGGCCCATGATAGCATAAGAGGCCAAAGAAATGAAGTCTGAGGTGTGCATGCAGCTTTCAGATTTGCCCCCCCCACCCCCCCGCCGCTTCTGAGAGCTTGGAAAATGTCTTAACCTCCCTGGGCCTCAGGTTCCTTTTCTGTGAAATGGGGACAATGAAAGGCTGTCCCTCACAAGGTCATGAGGACTCCTTGAGATTTGGGTGGGAAATGCAGATTGCCTCCCTGACAGCACCTGACCCCCCCCACTCTGCCTCGCCCCTCGGCCTGCTGTCAGAATCTTCTCCTATTTACCGTGAGCCAGAACGTGCGATGATTTTCCCCAGGTGATTAATGGCTAGAAAAACCAAGGGTTTGAAGTGGTCGCAGTGGAATTTCAGGCATCAGCTGGCGGGTGCACAGCGTCTTTCCTGGAAGCCAAGCCTTGGCAGGCACTAAAAGGAAGACCTGCTGCTGTGGCCTTCCACCCCGAGAACCTGGGCGTTCTCACTTCTAAATAATAGGCTGCACACAATTTGATTTCATTTCATATTAAACTGCCTAGCCTGCAACCAGGGATGCGAGGTGGATTCCTACAAATCAATTCCAATGTGCAAATTAGCCAGCACCTGCTAACCTGGGGCTGCTTAGGAATGAGACCCAGCTACGGAGTACTAAAGGCAATGATTGCAATTTGCCTTTGGGGGTTGAGACTGGGTATGAATACAAAATTGTTTTCAAATGTTTCATTTGTTGTTTAGAATTACGTAGCATGTCTTCTTTTGAGATCTACTCTATGCAAAGCGCTTTGGCAAGGCCAGAGCGGGAAGATGGAGGGAATGCCTCTCCTTTCCCCTGCTCAGAGGGGCTCAGAACAAGAGCTCATCGAGCATTTTGGCCTAATAAACTGAGGTTCAAGTTGAGGAGGGAAGGAGCAGGTCAGAACAGGCTCTTCTGGGACTGAAGGACTCTCTTTGTTTTGTCCATTCTTTATCTATCTGTCCTTTTCTTTTTGGAAGGGCTGCTTTAAATCCTGTCTTTACGGCACGGTTAGTGGGTGGGCTTCCCATCCGTGTCTGGGGTCAGGATAGCAGGTCAGAGGAGATTCTTTTAATATAGGCCCAGTCCTGGCGTTGGTGGTCAAGTAGCCTCCGGAGATATGGGGCAAGATTCTTGAGTGCGGTCAAGTTGTCCAGCTTGTGAATTTCCCAGCCCTTCTGTTCCCCTCGGGCTCTTGACTGTGTTGGCGCCTTCTTTTGCTTCCCCAAATGCAGGATCCAAAGAGGGAAGAACGGTAGTCACACCCTGCGTCACCACCAGCAAAATGTAGGTGGTCTCCCCCTCTGGCTCCCGCCCATCCACTACCCACCTGTGGGCCCCGTGTCCAAGCTGTCCTGCAGCCCCCCTCCCTGTGTGCTACCACCCCCCATGTGCCAGCGCTCTGCAGGCCGCCTGGTCATGAGATCTCCTTCTACACAGGATCTGCTAAACTCATTCATGTGAAGGCATGAATCATCAACAACAGTGGCTCTGTTCTGGAGTCTTTACATTTTAATAAGAGGCCAATGCCTTAATAAATTATTTTTCTTTATAAAGGGAAGACTGAAATGTGAGATGGAATGCTAGACCCCCAATTTCTGCCGCAGGGCCTTCGCATGTCCACCAAGCACATGCTACCCTCCTCACATGCATTGAAGGCTGAAGGCCATGGGCCTGTCTGCCACCCTGTCAGCGGCCCTGGTGGGGTGGGCAGCTGGTAGCCAGGATTCCTGCTGCCGGGGACAGAGGCCTGTCTGCTGTAAACCAGAGACGTCAGCAGGATTGAACCGTGAATCAAAAACTGGAACAAATTGCTTTAATCAGCTAAGACCCAAACCTAATTTAAATAGTATTTTTTCACTGGACCATGAACCAGCTTCATGGGTCCCCCTCCCCCTGGTTGACCAGTTGAACCCAGAACTGAACTAAGAAGAGAATGTGTTCATGGCTTTTTTTAAGATTTTTAATTTAATTTTATTTATTTATCAGATAGAGTGTGCACACAAGCAGGGGGAGTGGGAGAGGGAGAAGCAGGCTTCCCGCTGAGCAGGGAGCCCGATTCGGGGCTCGATCCCAGGACCCTGGGACCATGACCTGAGCCGAAGGCAGACGCTTAACGACTGAGCCACCCAGGCGCCCCGTGAATATGTTTTAATAAGCTATGTTAAATATAGTTTCTCTCTGTATTTTATTACAATAAAATGTGAAACAAAACATAGATGCTTTTTTTTAATGAATTATCATTATTTGTTTTATTTATTTTTTAAAGATTTTATCTATTTATTTCACAGAGAGAGACATAGCGAGAGAGGGAGCACAAGCAGGGGGAGTGGGAGAGGAGAAGCAGGCTTCCCACTGAGCAGGGAGTCTGATGCAGGGCTTGATCCCAGGACCCTGGGATCATGACCTGAGCTGAAGGCAGATGCTTAATGACTGAGCCACCCAGGCGTCCCTTTTTTTTTTTAAGATTTTTTTTTTTTTTTAATTTATTTGTCAGAGAGAGAGAAAGAGCGCGTATTCATGGTTTTATAGGTGAGGACACTGAGGCACTGAGAGTCGTGGCTGGCTCAAGGACACATGGCACATCAGTGGCCCAGATTTGACTGTTTACCCTCAGTCTCTCCACTTGATTCAGAACCTCAAGACATAGTACATGTTACCCATTGTGTTCTTTTTTTTTTTTTTTTAAGATTATTTATTTGACAGAGGTGGGGGAGGTGGAGGGGCAGAGGGGGAGAGAGAATCTCAAGCAGGCTCCATCCCCAGCGCAGAGCCCAACATGGGGCTCGATCTCATGACCCTGAGATCATGACCTGAGCCAAAAGCAAGAGTCAGTTGCTTAACTGACTGAGCCACCCAGGCGCCCCCTATTATGTACCTTTGAATGGAGATTCTCTCTTAAGCTAAGAAGTTGTAACCCAGAGGAGAGATGGGTGGCTAGGTTGGCATTCTCTGTCTTCCCTTTCTCCCTCAGTCCCAGAAAACCACAGGGAAAACTGTAAAATGTTCTTGTGACTCGATTTATATTATGACTACTAGTGTTATCATTGTCATTATTTGCCTCGATGAATCTACTTGTTTTTAGTTTACCTTTCAAAGCTTCTGACAACATTCCTCTACATCAGTGGTCCTTAAGTGGGGTCACTGCCCCCAGGGGGTGTTGGCAGTACTGGAGACGTTTTGGGTTGTCACAGCTTGGGACCGTGTGGGCCACTGGTGTCATTAGGGAGAGGCCGTGGGTGCGCTCACGTGTTGCCTAGGACAGCCCCCCACAACACACAGTTACCTGGCCAAAAATGTCCACAGTGTCAAGACTGAGAAACCCTGGCTCAAATCAACACAAAAGGGAAACAAAGTCTCCTACAGATCCTCAATGAATCAAACTCTCCCCTTTCCTGTGTTCTCCCCAGCCTCTGCCCTGCCTTGTGTCCTTAAACTTCTATAATACTTATAATTGCCCAGGAATACAATTTGCATTCTACTTGTTTTCACTTAATAGCACATGCTGAGGTTCGTCCCTCTTGCCTCCTTTTCACAATTACATTTTTAATGGGTCCGATGGAGTCTTCTGGGCGGGTTGATGCCCAGAGGTCAGCTGACCAGTCCACCTGTCTTCTCGGGGCTGGTGACCCAGAGACGTGCCAGGTGGGCTGCGTGGGGAGGGGCTGGCTCGGGCAGGCCCAGCTGTGGCAGGCCCTGCTCCGCCTGCATCCCAGGCTAATGCCATCACTGTCTTCATCATCAAAAAGCCTTTATGAAGCGCTTTGGTGAATATATCCTGGCACTGGGGGGGCGGGGAATCTTCTGCAGAGATCTTCCCACCGGCTCCTGACATCTGGGGCACGTTGGCTCAGGCAGACAGCATATATGTCTTCCAACCACGAAGGCATCCAGACACTGGGCTGTAGGCCCCAGGCAGAGGGCGCAAAACCAGATTCTTAGGCAATATTCATGACAAGAGTAAGTGTGTCTGTCTGGGAATGCGAAGATTGGCTGGATTCCCAAAGGGAGCTGGCGTCTTGAGTTACCTCCTCCAGCCGCTACAGGCTTCTGGAAGGACATGGGATTTTAGAACCTACGGGAAGGAGGAGAGAAGTGGGGGAGGGAAGCAGCTTGACAGCTCAAGGGCTTGGGGTCACGTGTTCCAGGCTTGAGTTCAAGTGCGCAGCCTGGGAGAAAACTAGATACCACCAGAGCTGTCCCTCCTGAGACCCTCTTGCCACCCTCTGGCCTCACCTCAGTGCTCCTTTCTCTTACCCCCACTGCAGGTGTTCCATGAGCAGGGCATCCTCTTCGGCTACAGACACCCGCAGAGCTCCGCCACTGCCTGTATCCTCAGCCTTTTCCAAATGACCAATGAGACTCTCAACATCTGGACTCACTTGCTGCCCTTCTGGTACCTTCCAGTCCCCTTGACTGGCCATGTCAATTCAGGAGCCCTGGGCCTGGGGCTTCTTTAAAACCCAGGGGGGTTGGGAAGGCTGAGAGTCCACGCTGGGATTTTGGGGACTCCCCCGTGGTACATGAGCATGGAGCTGGGAGATGTTGGGGCCGGCAGCTGGGGTGAGCTTTAGCATATGGATTCTAATAGGATTCAAGAGGCTCCTGGCAGCTCCCCAGTCTTTCCCTGCACTGGGGGGCCTGGGTTGATCTCATCCCCTTCAGTTTGGAGGTTTTTGGAGTCCTCCAGAAGCCCTGGTTAAAATGTCATGAGCTTGAGGGAGTCAATCTCTCTGAGCTTAATGTTTTCCCGTCTGTAAAGTGGGAGGGATGGTCCGTGCCTTGCCCAGGGTTGCTGTGAGGATTACCGGGTGGGGGGTGGTGGGGGGGGTGCTGGTGGAAGCATTGGAAAAGGCATCGGGCAGGGAGCTGTGGGGGCCCCGTGATCATGCTGGCCAGGAGGCACTTTAATGGAGAAGCCACGAGCTCAGGGGCCCACTAAGACCCCCGTTGGCTGACACATGTGTGGCCCAGGGAAAGGGCACGGCAAGTCCTGGCACAGGCCAGACTCTGGACTCCCCTCTGATCATTGTCCAGAAGCCAAGGGAATAGGAGGGACCCCAGGGTGTGCCGCCCACAGAGATGGGCTCGAGGAAGGCCGTGCTTGCTCAGAAGTCAGAGGGCAGATCCAGGGCTAAAGTGCAGGGCAAGGCTGGTGCCAGAGGCCTCCCCAGAGAAGAGAGAGCAGGCCTGCGGTGGATTAGGGAGATCCGGAAGGAAGTTCTAGGGCCTGCAGACTGCTCAGGGTGGCCTCCAGATCCTGCTCAGGGGGGCTGTTTGTCATTTTACTTTATTTGTGTGTGTGTGTGTGTGTCCTTTTAAATTTAAGCAAACCTAAGTAAATGTAAGTAAAAAGTCTAAATGCTCATGAAGTGCAACTTGCAGATGGGGACAGAGACAGTGTCTTCCCCTGGCCCCTGTTCTCTTCCCTGGCTTTCTTCCCTCCCATCTCCGTCTGGCCCCCAGGCCTCTCAGGCTGCATGGTGTTCCGTTGTGTGGATGAACCACAGGTGATTTATGGGGTTTGCAGTTTGTGCTCCTGCCAGGAGCACTGGCCCCTCCCTGCTTGCCTGTGGGTCCGGGGCACTTGTGCACAGATCCCTGTGGGGTGACTTCCTAGCTGTCCCGAAGCTGGGCCACTTGGGCCGAGGCTCCCCGCTGCATATAGCCTGTGGCTCTGCCAGACCCTGGGAGATGGTCACCACTGAGCAACACAGGGTGGGGAGAGGTTGGGAGAGCCTGGAGTAAGATGCCCCTAAGGAAGTGGGGCCAGGGAGTCATCTTGAGATGATCGGATAGGTTTTGAGACCAGCACATAGCTTCAGCTCTGTTTTTGCTGGGACAGGAGGAGAAAGATCGCAAATGTAACCAGAAGATGGACGGATGCTCCTTGGGTTCCTGTGGGAAAAGCATTGGAGTCTCCTCCCCTGGGAGAGCCCGTGGGCAGAGGCCCTGCTTTCTAGCAGTGGTTGGTCTGTGGAAGTGGGCAGCTCTGCAGGCAGGCCCCCCTTGCCTGGGTCATAGAGGAGGCAGATACGGTGCAGAGCTGTCCTGTGTCTCTGTGTGGGGTGGACCCAGAGAGCTAGACTCAGCAGATCGCAGCATGGGACCAGGCCACTCAGAAAGGCGATGGTAGTGTGAGAGGAGGAATAGCATGGAGAGGAGGGAGAACAATCGTCCTGTTGTCTTCTAGACTCTCCAGACCCCTCCTGGGAGGTTGCTTCTGTTTGAGGAACCTTCCTGCAAGGGGACAAAGACAAACCACAGGGCTGGTGACACAGCCCCATGTGGATCCTTTGAGGAGTGGTTGAGTGCCACGGGGTTCTTTAATGTAAGGTTCAAAGAGGTGAGGAGGCATTATGATTGCCTTAGATATTTGATGTGCTAGTTTTCTGTGGTCCCGTTGAGGGGAACTCGGGCTGATCAAATGGAGATAGATCCCAGGGAGACCGGTGTCAGCTCAGTGAAGAATTTCCCGACACTTAAGAGCTCCCTTGAGAGGTGGTGAGCTCCCCATCCCCGGAAGCATGCAAGCTGAGCCTGGAGAATCACTTAGGCAGGATGCTGTAAGAGAGATTCTGTCATTGCAAGGTGGGGAGAGGAATGTACTAGATAAATCTTAAGGCTCTCCTCTTGCCCCTTCTGCCCAGTTCTAACCGTAAAAGGATCCCATTCACCCTCCCTCACTCGTAGTATTTCACCAAAGTGAGAACACACAGGGTTCAGTTATCCCAGGGGAATGGGGGGCAGCAGATAGTCTGTGAGGGGTGCAGAGGAGCCCCCAGCCACGGAGGTCGAGTGGGCCACGCTGTGTTCCAGGTTCTTCGTGTGGAGGTTTGTGACCGCCTTGTATGTGACAGACATCCAGAATGACAGCTACTCCTGGCCTCTGTTCGTGTACATGGGCACCAGCTGTGTGTACCCCCTCGCGTCCAGCTGTGCACACACCTTCAGCTCCATGTCCAAGAACGCCCGGCACATCTGCTACTTCCTGGACTACGGGGCCGTCAACCTCTTCAGCCTGGGTGCGTAGGGCCCTGCGTCCTCCTCTCCCTGAGACTGAGATAGCTGCGCCCCCTCCTCCCCCCCGCCCCCGAGAGCTGGGCTCACCAGAAGGCTTTGATGGGCTTGCGGAAGAGTCATGGGAATGCCATGCCTCCTCCAGGTTCCTGATGTTTGGTAAGAAACTTGTCCAGGGCTGTGCTGGCAAATATTAACTGATTCAGTGGGGACAAAAGCCCCGATCTGTGGGGTAGGCTGACCCCCAACCATGGCCAACTTCCGGCCACCAGTGGGACCTCCCTGCACATCATCACGCAGTAATTCCTCTATGCAGATAGAGGAGAGGCATTAAAGGAAAGTTATTACTTGTGTTAATGTGGTTATTTAATTGTCAGTTTAGGTAGTCGGCGGGGTTTAACAGTCGTCTTGCGAGATCTCTGAAACCTCATCCGTCTGCCGTCACAGGCCAGGGTGAGCCAGCTCTGCACGTCAGGGCTGCTGTCTGTCCTGCCTGACAAAGAAGGGGGCTCATGAACCCCGCTTGTCGAGAGGCTTAGACAAGTTAGCAATGTGCTCAAAGTGCCATGGGAACCGAGGGGTGAGCCCAAAGCATGCGCGGGTGGGTGTTGATACTTGAGCTTCCTCGTGTTTTTCCTCCCAATTATGGGGTCCCCTCCTTCTGGCTCCACTTCTCTCCCCAGCTGGTGGGCAGCCATTTGTCCCCAAGTCTCCCCTGCTCTGGCCTCTTCTCCCTCCTGCTCCTGCTCCAGGTGTGAAAGCAAAGGCATTGTCTTCCCTTGCCCAAGGGGGTGTCCGTGAGGATCCTGTCCCCATCCTGTTTCCTCCCCTCCCTCTCACAAGTCACACACGCACGAACACGTGCACACACATGTACACACAGAGGCACATACACACGTGCTCTCGTGCACACACACACCCACGGGCTTTACCGTGTCACCTCCCACTCCTCCGTGCTCTGTGTCCAGCCCCCACCATTTACTAAAGCCGCAGTTGCTGGGGCCCCGCCTGCGGACACATGGCTTCTGGGTGCTCTCGCCAGCCTCTGACGCAGGGGCCTCTCCATGCTTCCAAACCACCTCCCTTCCTCTGGTCCCTGTCACATCACTCCCGCTTCTCCTCCTGCCTGTGCATGTTCTCATTCTCTTCAGCTGGCTCCCTGCTCTGCTCCCCAGGCAGTGGGCAAGCTCAGAATCAGGCCTTGGGACTCTGCTCTCGTGTGGTCCGGCGTCAGGGTGACCTCACACCATCCCCGAACACCTCTGGACCAGGCTCTCCCAAACCCATCCTAGCTTACCACTAACCTGAGATCCACGCCGTGTCCAGCCCTGTGACCGAGACTATCCACATCCGCCCCCGCTCCTGCAGTACTTCACCTGGCTCGTGGTTCCACCCCGACCTGGTCTCTTGAGTCAGAATCTGAGCCCTCGGGTTCCCCTCCCTCCCATGCCCCTGCCACCCTGTCGGGTAGTTCAGGTGAGTCTCTTCCCCATATTCCCCACATGGCTCCCCAACATGGCCTTTGCTCAGACCCTCCCGCCTCCCCCCTGCACCCTGACAACAGCCTCCTCTCCGCCTCCTGGCCCTCCCCGACTGCCACCGACTCCCCTCCACCGCCCCCCCCCTCAGGCTTCTCTAACACCTTCTGACCACGGCTCCCCTCCCACTTAAGACCTTTCAGGATTCCCAGTTACCCCAGATGAAGTTCGAACTCCGTAGTCTAGAGGCTTCCAGAGCCCTTGATCACCTGCCCAGACTCAGTGCCTAGATGGCACCTGAGACAGGTCACGAAGGGCGGCATCATGTAGTGCTTGCTTGTGGCCCAGCCGCCGCCACCCCTGAAATCCTGGGCGAGGTTCTTCACCTCACCAGGCCCTAGTCCTCCCGTCCACAAACTCGGCATCGTACCCTCCTCATGGGATGGCACGAAGATGAATTGAGTGTTGCAAGTGGAGTGCGCAGTGCCTGGCACCTAGCATCTGAGGGGGGCCATTACCACGGCTATGTCCTGAACCCTGGCATCCGTGCCCTGGGATGGTGTCTTTCATAGGCGAGAATACTGAGGCACCAGGACGGGAAGTGACTTGGGTCACATGGCTTGTAAATGGCAGAGCCAGGGTTCGAACCAAAGCCCAGGGGGTCAGCCGCCACCCTGAACGGTCTCCCTTCCTGTCACTGGCTTTCTGGATTTGTAAGCGTTCCTCAGGGTCTGGTACCCTCCCATAGGCCCTTCCCCGGGATCTTATCCCCTTTCCCTCCCTGCAGGTCCTTCAAGGCTGGGCCCCCAATCACGGCTTCCTCCAAGCCCCCAGACCGGGACCCCCTCTCTGAAGCTCTGGGCCCCAGTCTCATCAGTGAGCCCTTCATTTCTGCTCCTCAGAACGGCTCCCTGAGGATGGGACACCGGTCCTTCAAGTCTGGTCTTCCAGCCGGTATCCTGGTGCCTGACACAGGGGTGTTCTGGGAACAAGGAAGGAAGGTCTGGCCAGTGGAGAGGGCCTCTGGCTTCCACCTCAGACTCCCTGCCCCTTTGTCCACAGCCACCTCTCCTTCCTGTTCTCACTTCTACCCTGTGGAAACCCACAGTCCCGAGGGTGGTGTTTGCGCCTACTTCCTCCCTGGTTTCCAGCTATTTCTCCCTCTAGGCTGTCCTGTGCACTTTCACTCGGTTTTGGCCGTCTTAGTCCCTCACTCAGAAAACTTCCATGGCTCCCTATGGCCTTAAGAGGATGTTTACTTTCCTTAGTCTCTATCCAAAGCTGCCTCTATTCCTGCTCCCCAGAAAGCCCTCTAAAGGGGTCTGAGCATCAGTACAATGCGTGTGGGGGTGGGGAGGCGGTCCCCCACGCCAGCCCAAGCAATTCTCCGACAGCAGCTGGGGGTCCTACAATTCCGCTCATTTCTGACACCGTCCTGGGGACTGCATCTGTTCCCACAGGTGAAGGGCTTGGTCCCACAAGACCATCTCCCCCCTTCAGATGCCAGGCGCAAGCCCAGGTTGTTACAGACTGGCTATACATCGGAGGTTCCAATGACCCTGGCTCCCAGAACTCAGAGAAACATTTTACGTACTGGATTACCAGTTGATTATAAAGGGGTAGAACTCGGGAACAGCCAGATGGAAGAGATGGACAGGGCAGGGTGTGGGGAAGGGCTCGGAGTTCAGTGTCCTCTGAGTGCGCCCCCTCCCTGAATCACCACGTGGTCGCCAACCTGGAAGCTCTCTGAACCTCTGTTTGGGTTTTTATGGAGACTTCATTCGTCATGACTGATGAAGTCATTGGCCACTGGCAATTGATTCAACCTCCAGCCCCCTCTTCCCCTCCCAGAGGTCAACCCTCCAGTCCAGTCCCCTGCTTTCCAAATCACCTCATTAACATAACAAAAGACACCTTCCTTGCTCTCGTGGCTTAGGAAATTCAGGGATTTTAGGCGCTCTCTGCCAGGAACAGTGGAGAAGACCAAATGTCTATTTCTTACTAGAAGTCATTTGGCTTCTCACTGCCGTTTTGGGCAGGGTCTGGGGCTCCCCTGCTCCTGTGTTGCCCGCGGAGATTGGCGTGCACCTTGGCCCCAGCCAGCATACACAGAGCGAATGCATCCTGGTCCAGAGGGGAACCTCCCGCTCCTATCAGGCTGAGGAAGAGTCTGTCCCCCAGGAGGCGGTTCCCAGCTGAAATCCCATAGGCAGTCTGCTGATTATCAGCTCTTTCTGCCTGTGTGACCCTGGGGACACCACTTGGCTGCACCAGACTCCATCTGTCAAATGGGGTCAGAGGCAGAGCTTGAACTTGTGTGGTGGAGGCCTGCTTCAGCTTTGAGCTAGGATTCCAGCTTTCTCTGTGTCTTTGGAATAACAGGTGAGCGTAGGGGCGACCCCTGAGGCCCTGGGCGGACAGGCCTGTGGCTGTCTCTCCCAGAGGAGACCTGGTGAGGGTAGCTGGAGAGGCCTTCGGGGCCAGGCCTCCGGACACACGTGGCCCCTTTGAAAAGGACAGTGATCGCCCCTGTTCTTTCAAAGAAAAGCTGCAGCAGATGGGTCTCCGGAGGGCCCTTGGGGAACCCTCCTGTCACAGACTCCCAAACCTAAAACAGTGAAACATCAAGGCTAGCCTCTTACACCTGCCTCTCAGCTGGCCAGTCCCCCAGCCCCCTGATACCAAAGGCCTCCTCCCCTTGACAAGATCCCTCCCTCCCTGCGACGTCCGTCTTTCCACAAGGGGTGCCCCGTGTCATCGGCAGGTGAGATGTGCACTCAGAAAAGCTGAGCACTCTGAGGTGTCATCATAGACCAGAGCTTGGGGATCAAAGGGGGGACTGTCACTGAATTGCCTCAGGTGGGAGCTTGGCTTTGCCACTTTCTAGCTGTGTGCCCCCCAGGGGGGTTGCTCACCCTCTCTGCCTCTGCATCGTCATCTGTAAATGAGGATAAGTGCAGGGTTTATGTTAGAGGGTGATTGTCAGGATTATGTGAGTTGGGGCAAAGCTGGGCTCATAGTAAATTCGCAGGGTAGGGTTTGGCAGGCAGAGAAGAGAGGTAGGACGTTCTGGGGCGGGGGCGCGGGGGGAGCATGACACAAGTGACGTGCGGCGACAGGGCTCAGCCAGACGCTGGGGTTGGGCTTCCCAAGGGTCCAGGCTACACTGCGGCCTGGCTTCTGGCCCAAGGCTGGTTTTTTCCTCTCCAGGCTCAGCCATCGCATACTCGGCCTATTCGATCCCGGACGTGATGGTGTGCACCGCATTCCATGACTACTACGTGCCCCTGGCCGTGCTGAACACCATCGTCAGCACCGGCCTCTCCTGCTACTCCAGGTACCCGGCTGCTGGGCCTCAGAGGGGCGGGGGAGGACGCTCCATGGAAGGGGCTCTCGGAAGCCTGGGGCTCAGTTCCAGACCCGCTCCACGGGCACACATCCGGGACATTCGAGGGGATTCCACACTTGGCTTAACACTCTGCGGTCACTGTCTTGAACTTCATAATGATTTTTGAACAAGGGGTCCCACACTTTCCTTCTGCGCTGGGCCCTACAAATGATGTAGCTGGTCCTGTTGCGGGGCGGGTCGCTTATTTAGCCTTCTTGAACCTCAGTTTGCTCATCTGTAAAATGGGGCCCACACATCTACCCACCCTGTGAGGGGGATGTAAGGGTTGCAGGGAATGTGCCTGGCACGTCTGGCCGAGGCGGCACCCCATCGATGGGCAGTCTGCTGACAGTGACTGAGCAGGCCTGCGTCTAGACACACATGCTCCCTGGCTGATGATATTCACATGTCTGCTGTGTCCCTGGGGAAGCCCCATGGCTGTGAGTCTCACCCACTCACACTGGCTCTAATTCCCTCTGGTTTCTCAGTTTCACTCCAGAAAGCTCATTGGAGCGTGAATCCAAGAGACATTGTTTGGGGGCTAATGACTCTAGTTTACTCAGCTCTTTGTAAAAGCGAACTGTCCAAATTTCTGCTTCCCTAAATGATTTAGAAAACCTCTCAAATGGTGGTGTTGGGGGGACAGCCCTGTCTGGATGGTGCCGGGGTGCTGGGTGCTCCCTGGGCTGGGGGGCTCTCGGGGAGGGGGGCTGGCTTAGGAAAGGGCCCATGGGAGGCTGGCAGGTTGCACCCGATCCTCTGCCCCCATCTCGATTCCAGGGAGCCAGCTGCAGTCTCCCCATTAAACCATGGTTCCCCACCCCCCAGGAAGAAATGGAGGGAGTGGGAAGTTTCTGTACCTTCTCTGCAATGACTGTGGCTCTCCCTTTCCTTGGGTGACACTAAGGTGTCGTGGGACTGAAGGTAGGCAGGTTTCACAAACTTGACAAGCTGGTTTTCTTTAAAAAATGGGAGGATAGAGATTCTTAAAGAGCATCAAGAATACTTGCCCCAACTTGTCTCCACTTGCCTGTCTTGAGACCAGTTGGGAGCGTGGAGTTGCTTTGCGTGGGAGGGCATCTCATTTCTAGGTTCAGTGTCAACAACGAGGGTTTGTTCATCCCACGAAAACAAGCCTGGGGGAGGGAGTGGGAGCTCAGCTCTCTTCCCTCTCCCTGGAAATGCAGAGCCCCCCTACAGCTGTGAGGACAGAGGGTCTGCCCACTGGGATGGAAACTGAATCAGACATCACCGGGTTGTTCTTGCCTCCTCCCCACTTCCTCAAGGACTCTTGTCGATTAGAAACTCTTTCTGGAGCTCAGCCTCTGTGCCAGGGTGGAGCTTCGAGGGCTGCACGGGTGATGGGGAGGAGGGGATGGGGCCCTGCCTTGGGTGAGACAAGGCATAACACACACATAGAAAAGTAACCAGGTTGCCGGCAGCAGCCCAGGAGAGATGAAGCATGCCCTGGAGGCACGGGGCCCAGATGTGTGGACACACCTAGCTCTGGTCCTTGGATGAGTCACAATCCTGTCTGGTTAGCTCCCGTTGGCTGTGTAGCTGTGCTGTTTGGGTGAGAGGTGAGCACTGTGGCCTGAGGGGGCATGGAAGGCTCCATGAGTGTTGAAGTAGAAGTCCCAGAGTTCATGATCCAGGACTGTTTTCCTAAGAACCCCCAATGCAAAGTTGCTGCCTTTTTTTTCTTTTTTCTTAAAGCTTCCTGAATCATCTGTAAGCCACCAGGGTAGATGGTTTTCTTCTAGCCAGAAGTCCATCCTGGTTGTTAATAATAAATGGGTCTTCTGGATGTAGCATGCCTGTTACCTTTGGACAAACTTACTTGACAGAGTAGGCTGGCCAGGAATCTCCTGATGCCTGTGTTTGGAGGTTTCTCTCTTGTCAATGAAATGGATTATTTCTGTTTACTTACCAGACACATCTGTTGCTATTCCATCTCTCCAACCATTCATCCAGCCACCTCCTCATTCACCATCCCCCTACCCAACCACCACCTATCCATCCATCTTACCCACCCATTCACCCATCCACCTACCCAACCATCCATCCATCCATCCATCCATCCATCCATCCATCCATCCATCCATCCATCCATCCATCCACCCAACCCATCCAGCCATCCATTCATCCACCTACTCATCCACGCATCCATCCACCTACTCATCCACCCATCCACTCAACCACCCATACATCTGCCTATCCATCCTCCCACCCATCTGCCTACCCATCCATTCATGCACCCATCCACCCATTCATTCATCCATTCATCCATCCAACCAACCAACCAACCAACCAACCAACCAACCAACCAACCAACAAGTCAACCAACCAACCAACCAACCACTCAATATTCCTTAAATGTCTGCCATACTCCAGGCATCATGTTAAGATCTGGGAATACCAGGAGGAGTGAGGCCCAGCCCTTGCCCTGAGAGAGCACCCAGGGCAGTAGTTGAAGCCGACTACAGACCCCCCAGAAGCCCAGATGGAGTCATCGTTTCCTCTAAAGGCCAAAGGAAATGGCATATAGAGTATAGCATTACAGAATGTAATGTATGCAAGTAATGGTAATACAAAATGACACCCCTGCTTGGATACACAAAGTTCTGCAAAGTGGTACTAGGACTGAGTATTGAGGGAGGTTGAACACCTGAGCCAGAGAGGAGGGAAGGGCCTGTGGGACAGAGCAAACAGCGCAGAGGGTGAGGGGGCCAGAGAAGACAGCCCTGGGAGGTGGCAAGGGGCTTCCGAGTTGCCAGAGCTGCACAGCTGGAAGGAGGCACGTGGCTAGAGAGGGTCTCCCACAGTGGCTGGGATTTGAAGTGCCTTGTGTGTCCTGCAGCAGACTGGTCCTGTGCTGGTGAAGGACAGTGATCTCTGTGGGAGGGCCATTCCACGGCCTCAGCTTCCGAGCCGAGGGGCATCCAGGTGTGTCGCTGGCTGCCGGCCTGGGGGCTGGAGGAGGCCTGTGCTGGAACGGAAGCTGAGGGAGGGGGCCAGAGGCAGAGTGGGATGTCCCATCTGAGGACCCTGTGCGGTCCCTTCTCGCCTGGTCCTCTTTCCTGTTTTCATTCCCTTTGTCTTCAGTGTCTGAGGAGTGAGAGGGCTGACTCCTGCACCAGGAGTGACTCGGCCCCCATTCACTTCAGGAGAACCGCCCCCCCCCAGGGTCCCGGATTTCACGGACTTCTGGCTTCACCTTAAACAAGGGCATCTGAGAAGATGTCTCTGGGTGTTCTACCATGCCGGGGCTTCAGAGTCTTTTCTGAGATCTCTCTCCTCGCCTTCCTCCTTCCCCAAGGCCACCCTGCCTCCGCCTCAGGCTCCATCAGTCCATGATGTGGCCAGGAGTGGCAGAGAGCCGCCATCTCCTTCCCGGAGCAAGAAGCAGAGCACAGACCTCCTGAGTGGTCTTTAGTTATTCACGTGCTTGCCAGAATATCACGGTCTAAATGGCATTCGTTCCGTTATAGTACCGAGCACTGTGGACTCCCTGGAATCTAGTTCAAATGAATGTTCCAGAAACCTGCCTGCCTTCTTCTGTAGCATTTGAGAAGGGAGATGAGAGAACGCATGACCTCTCTGTGGCTCTCAGAGCAAGGTGGGGTGACGGAGACCCTGCCTGCTCATCCCACTGGCCACCCAGAAGCCTAGAAAGGCGTCCTCACTCCCTTAGGGACGTCAGTCACCCAGAGTTTGCTGTCCATCACAAGTCACCGTAGGCACTTTATTCACTCATCCAAGGCATCCAAAAGTGGTTTTGTTTTGACAAACAGTTGCTCAGTGAAATGTCCTGTGGTCAGTGCTGTGAGGGAGAGAGGTGACTTTTCATCCCTTGGCGGTGGGTGGTGCTGGGGCCGGGAGAGGGTTTGGAGGGCAGAGCTGGAGTCAGGAGGCTCACGGGCAGTCAGTGGTTCTCAGACACCTCTGGAGGTCGGAGGGCTCAGCCAGATGACAAAGTGCACATTCCTGTGATGTCACCCACGCAGTAAAACAGCCATAACCACACACCGCGCGCGCACGATACACACAGGCGTGTGCGCGCACCCCCTCTGCAATAGAATGTTTCCAAAGGCCCACTAGTTTCAAGCGCTGGTTCCAGAATTTGCTTGCACATCCTGTCAGCTTTGTTGCAACAAGATCTATCAGGTTTTAGAACAGACTGATATGCACTGACCCTCTCCTGGTGGAGGCTTCTGCCAAAATCCAGTGTTTCCTGCCAACCTGGTTCTAGGCAGAGGAGGCCTGACTTCCCTAAACTGGTGTGTCCGCTCTGCGGTGCAGGGACTGTCTTCCCAGGTGGGGCTTCCGAGACTTGGGGGCAACCAGTGCTTTGGAGGGTTCTGTGGCTCCCGCCCCTCCTTCCTGGAATCTCTGGCTGGGGCGACACCCTGTGGCTAACTGTGGAATTGCACCTTGGTAGTGGGAGGCCCCTCTCTGTGGCTGCTGGCCTTTCCGCCTTTTATTCTGTGTTGCTGTCTCTCTTCTGTTCTGCTTTTTCTCCTTTTTTTTTCCTGTAGACTCGGCTTTGCAGATGGAGAGGCTGGTTCGTTTGCCCCTGGGGAAGCACTTTATCAGGCTGGGCGAAATGTTGTCTCAAGTCACAGGAAATCCATGGTTTGGGGGATGGCCCTCGCCAGCCAGAGCCAGCTTTCTTCCTGTGTAAGTGGTCACAGAAAGAGCATGCTTTCACAGTGAGCCTCTTTGAACCCAGAAAGGATAGACGGTGGCCGTGCATGGGGAAGGAGGGAGCGGGCTTGCGGTTGGACTGGGTTGGCCAGGGTAGGCTGTGAAGGCTGTTGAGCCAGGCTCTGGCTGTGGGGGGCAGTGGGAGTGTGTCCCATTTGCTCCCTGGGGCAGAGGGGATATAGGCAAGGATGGAGGCTGGGTGGTGGTCCGAGGCCTGCTCAGCCTGCCGGAGCGGTGGGGGTGTGAAACTTGGAAGCCAGACCGCGCTGGGTATAAATCCTAGCTTCACCTCTTATCAGCTCACCTGACTTTAGGCAAGTCACCCAGAACCTGTCTGTTCCCTCCTGGTCCTGTTTTCTGGCACAGCATAGCTGTAAGGTGGGGAAGGGGAAAGAATGAATCTCACTACACACCTTTTATTAAAAGCTGCCATTTAGCGATCATTCCTCTGTGAGGTGGGTATGCTCCTTGCAAGTATGGTTTCATCAAATCTTTGCAACAAGCCCGCGATGGGGTACAGTTGTCGTCCCTGCGTTACATGTGAGGATTTTGACATGCACAGAGGTTACATAACCTGTTGGGGTCGCATGATCACGGAGGGTTGAGGCAGGATTTGAACCCAGACTGTCCAGGTCAGACGCTGCTTATGAATCATGGCCCAGTGCCGCCTCACCTCTCCCAGGGTTGGTGGTTTACTCCAAGGCTGGGGGTCTTGTTTGGGGGGATGATAAATTGAGGTCCCTTATTTCTCTTCCTCCTTTTCCTTCAGCTTCTCTTCCTTTGCTACCCCATGCCTGCCATGACTTAGGATGGGGTCAGGAGAGGAGAGACCTGCAGAAGTAGGCTTGAGAGAAGTTGGAGCTTATCCCTGGAGGGGATAAGCTGGGGGGCTTCTCGGGGCCCACGGTGGCTGCCTCTTACTCTGGAGCAGGGATCCTCGTGCTTGGCTGCCCTGAGGGCTAGGCATAACACACCAGCCTGGGGGACGTGAGGGTCCCCTGATGGCTCGGGGTGGATGCGGGAGTCTCTGCCCTGTCCCGTGCCAAAGGACATGGGGAGCAGAGGGCTTTGTAGTCAGGTGACTGCACCGGCTGTGGGGCCAGGAGTAAGCTGGCCAGGGTCCGAGGGCCCGGGTTGGGTGGAGCAGCAGATCGTGTTTGGTAGGGGAAAGGGCAGGCTGTGGGCTGGGACAGGGCGTCTGGGAAACGGGTGGGGAGCAGTGGTGGGACATGACTCCATCCCCCATGGAGAGCATGCTGAGGGGCAGGACTGTCAGGAAGGGCTGAGAGGGCCCAAGGGTCTCCATTGTCTGACTGACTGCCCTGGAACAGCCACCCCACCGGCCTTGGCGCCCTGAGTCTGCACACCACCTTCGTGGGGACCCCTGTGGGCACCGAGAGAGGACCCAGCCCTCCACAGTACACTGTGGTATTGAAGCGGGGACGTGCCCTGCCCCCCTGCCTGGGCAGCCCAGCCTGGGGCCTGAGCACTCCTTACCTGAGCCCCAGCTCAGGGCTGTGATTTTGTGTGGAGATTCTCCCTGCTCCTCTCAGGTCCTGTCAGTATCCAGCCTGTCATCTGTGCTGCCCCACTCCCCACACCCCAGGCTGCCAGCCCCGCCCCAGCTGGGCCCAAGCCCGCTGAGGCCCCGTGGCGCTCCATCCCAGAGGCCCTGCAGTCAGCACCACTCATTTTAACATGGGCTTCATTTTTGGACTGGAGGCGGGTTGATGAAGAAGAGGGGAAAAGGCCACATTTACTCAGTTTCCCCAGGCCAGTGTCCCTGGGTGTGGCACTAAGGATTCCAGAAAGTTCTTCCAAGTCGTTAAACACTTCCCTGAACCCGGGGCTTCTGCACAGCGATCAGCTGGGCAGCTCTGACTGGTTAGATCTCTCATTCTTCCCAGACTTGCTTGCCCCAGGAGACTGTGCCAGGGGGCCACCCACACCCCACACGTCTCCCTGTTCTGTTGTTACTGGACTTCGCAAAGGCTCCTGAGCAGCTAGATAACTTGCCTCTTGAAGGGCCTTTCCAGCCCAGGACTTCCACTCTGGCTTCGTTGGACACGATTGCTTTCTCATGATGCGGCCCCAGGAGATGGTTTCCCCTGAGGCCTTTCCACATGCTACCACGGGGGGCGGGAGCAATGGACGAGGCTGGTGGAGAAGCTGCTGGTCTCAGGAGGAGGTTGCACAAAATACTTGCCTTCTGTTGATGACTTGCCCTCGGTTACTTGTAATGTGCGTGCGTGTGTGTCATTTACTGAAACTGTTTTCATTCCAGTCTCTTCCTCCTTTTTCCTTTCCTGATTTAGGTTTCTTGAAATCCAGAAGCCCGCGCTCTGTAAGATGCTTCGCGTCCTGGCCTTTGCTTATCCCTACACCTGGGACTCCCTCCCCATCTTCTACAGGGTAAGGGCCCAGCTCCGTCTTTTCTCTGCCTGTTGGCAACACCAGGGAGTCTGTTGTTTCCTGAGGTCCTGGGGGTCAGAGCACCAGGCTGGTCACTGCAAGACACGTGGGAGTTGAGACCTTCCATAAGAGCAGGTGCAGAGTAGTGAGGAGATAGCAGGAACATAGACGCCGTGAAAACCACAGGCGACGCATCAATGGCCGGCACTGACTGGGGGCTCAGAAGTAATCATGGAGGGCTGGGTAGGGGAGGCAGCCTGGGGTTTAGTGGAGGGACAAGGAGAGTGGGCTCTGGAGGCAGATCTCTAATACGTACTCACTGTAAGACTTTGGCAAGTTATGTAGTGTCTCTGTGCCTTGATTACCCTCATCTGTAAAATGGGCATGGTAGTAACACCTCAGTCCATCAGCTGTGGGGGAGATTACAGGAGAGAACATATAAAATGCTAGCTGGTGACAAGTGTCCAATAAACGCATTATTATGTATTATCATCAATTAACATACTAGGAGCAAAGGAAAAAGTATGAAGGAGGGTCTTAAGGATAAATGGGGATTAGACAGAGAACACGAAGGAAGAGGGTGTAGGAAGGACACAAGAAGGGGGAGAGCCCAGGCACTCTCAAATCAGACAGACCTGAGTTCAAATCCCAGTCCCACTGCTCACTGGCTGTGTGACCTTAGGCAGTGCACATAACCTCTCCGAGCCTCAGTTTCCTCATCCATAAAGGAGGCTAACATCCCCTCTTGCACAGGGGGGTGGAGAGGGTTCATCTGATCCGCAGATCTGAAGGGCTCAGCTGTGCCTGGCACATGGCCTGCACCGGTGAGTGGAGTTCCCCTCCCAGGGGCAGCCTGAGGCTTGATGCATGAGGCAGGGACGGAAGGGGAGGGTCAGAGCTGGCTCCACTTGTGTGGGCCCGGGGGAGACCCCCCTGACTCCTTCCTGGAGGAGAGAGAACACACATAGGAAACCAGAGCAGAGAGAACAAGCTGGTCCCACGCCCCACCCAGTCGCATAGCTGAGGTCCGGTTATTAGGGGCACCATGCGCTCCTGGCGCTCGGCTGCAGCTGACGGTGGGCAGTGGGGAGGGGAGGCCTCATCCCGAATGGTGATGTTGATGAGCGCGCAGCTCTGGCAATCAGCCTGTCTGGATCCAGATCCTGACTTCACCGCTCATTAGTGGTTCGCGTCACCCTCTGGCCCGGCTTCCTCATCTGAAAAACGGGAAGCTAGAGTCTGCCTCATGGTAATTGTTGAGGCGAGGCGCTGATGAGATCCCACGAGAGAGGGGCTGGCCCAGTGCCCCAGGTTAGTGACCGCTGCTGTCGCTATTCATAATGGTAACACAACAACTAGGCTTAGCTCTCAAACAGCATCATGGCCGTAATTAATACATTCTGATGACTCAGAAGGCCTTCCAGGGATTTCAGGGCCTTAAAGCCTTAACTAGGAACATGAAACCAGGCGGTGCGCTGCTAAGAAGTGAGTTCAAGGGTGAATAGACCACTTTTTACTATACTTACGTTTTGCCCCCAGACAGTAGAGTAGCAATAGGTCTAATAGGATTTTTCTTTTCTTTCACTCCTTTCCTTTTCTTTTGTACTCTAAATAACCCAAAAGGCTTTATGAGCATTTGGAGGATTAAAATACAGTTGCCCTCGTTCTCAGATGATCACCGTCAGGATGGGAATTCTGCTCACACAGTCCCTGAGTTCCTTTCCAAGCCACAGACCTGAGGAGGTGAGGGCCTTGGCCTATGACGACCACACGTGTGTGCAGAGATGTCTTCAGGCGATGAGAAGGGAGAGGGCCTCCCCTCAAGACCTGATGTTTCTCTAACTGCCTGCAGCTGTTCCTGCTCCCCGGGGAGAGTGTACAGAATGAAGCCGTCCTGAACCACCAGAAGCACATGGCCATGACCCTCCTGGCCTCTTTCTTCTACTCTGCGCACCTGCCAGAGCGCCTGGCACCTGGACGCTTCGACTACATCGGTGAGTGTGGGGGAGCCCTGTTGCCTGGTGTCCTCCAACTCAGAGAGAGCCCCCCGCCGACACCAGTGTGTGCAGTGTGAAGGGGAAGCAGGGGCAGAGAGAGAAGTGGTTCCTCAGGAGCTTGTCTAGGAGCAGGCCAAGCGGAGTGGAACTGGAGGCCGGGATGTATGCAGCCAGCAGATGGCAGGGGATGGTGGGGGAGGATGGAGAGCAGGTGGATCTAGGATTCTAAGGCATTCCCATGGGTTATGGGGCCCGGGGAGTGCCATTATTACCCAGAACATGAAATCCCATTATTAAACAGACATTGAGGGCAGCCCAGGAGAGGAACAGGACAGACAGAGTGCAGTTGGCTCTGAGGCGACCAGATGACAGGGGCCGTGCTGAGGGGAGAGTGTCTTTCGTGTTCAGGTGGGTGCAGTGGGGCCAGGAGTCTTGGTAGAACAGTGGTTCTCAGGTCTGGCCCCCAGACCACCAGTTTCAGCAGCATCTGGGAACATGCAGATTCTCAGGCCCTACCCCAGATATCCCACACCAGAGGCTTGAGGCCGGGGGCCCAGCACTCACTCAGGCTGTGTGACTCTCCAGGGGAACCTGAGCTCACTACAGTGAGAGAAGTGATGTGGTGGGGGAGGGGCCGTCCAAGCCACGGGACCTCCACTTGCTGGGAGAGTTCCTTCCCTCCCTGTCTAGGGAAGCAGGGTGGGCACCGGCTGGAGGAGGCACCCTTGGGCCACTTCTGGTGAGGCTGATGAGTCCGGGGATGAGCGTTCCTTAGATAAGCTATCGTGGGCATCCAAGGGTCAGTCCCTGTCCTTAAATGGTGGGCAGGGACCTTGGTTCTCCCCAAACCCATTTTGCCCGGTGATTTTCCATCTCCTCCCACCTGAGACGTGGCCAGATTTGCTTTGTGGACTCTGATAAGAGCTTCATCTCCTTCACTTACTCTCTCCTACCAGAAGGGATTGCAAAGACCAAAAGGCTTGGAGGGCAGGTTCCCCCAAAAAGGAGGGAAACAAGAAGGCCTGGTAACTGGAACCTGCTTGCAGGAGCCACGTCCACCCCCAGCCCCGCCTCGATGAAGCAGAGGTGGTTGTATATGAAGTCTGGGGGCTGCAGGAAAAGTAGCCCTGGGCCTTGTTTTGCCAACTCCCTGGTTGTTTCATTCAGTCACCTTAGTCCCATCCTCTTGGGTCTCGGGGTGCAGAGCAAAAAGACACCCCTATAATGGGACATTTGCCAGACAATTGTTAATGACAGATCATCAACAAGGGGTTTGGAAAATTCTCTGTCCTGCATTAATGGAGCCTGCCAGACGTGGGCCTCCCTCTGCAGTGCGGGCCAAAGTGCTTAGTGGTGAGGCGCTGGCCCCTAGGAAGCTCTTCCACATTCCTGTCGGGCTGGAGTGCTGACATCACTTTTCAGATATATCCTGTGGCCATGGCATTTTCTGTCTTTTTATTTCCTGCTCTGATGCAGACAGGTTTGAGCCTTGGTGAGCTCAGCTAGTCACCTCTCTCTGCTTGGAGATGTGTCCTTGGAGAGCAGGGCTCTCTGCTGGACGAGAAGCCACTTTGCTGCACCCCAAATGGATTTGGCAATCCTACACAGCCTCTGAGTATATAGCCTGAGCGAGGCAGGGGCGGCTCATCCGGGCACACCTTCTTGCCCAGGGGACACAGCCTGGGGGGCCAGCAGGAGCTGTGGTAAGGAGCTCGGGCCACCCACCTGAGAGGGCTCTCGCTCCCACACTCCCATTCCCGACTCTGCTTCTGCTCCCGAGTGCACGTGCCCAGGATGTCCCCTTCCTGGGACACGGTTATTGAATACTTACTCCGGGATAAGTCCTGGGGGTATAACCTCTCTCTCTCTCTTTTTACTGAAAGAATCCTTTTTGAACTCTTGTGTTGTATTCGGGTGCTAGGACCGCCCTAACAAAGAATCACAGACTGGGGTGCTTATGCAGCAGAAATGCATTTTCTCAGGATTTTGGAGGCCGGGAGGCTGAGACCAAGGTGGGGGCCGGCTTGGGCTCTCCCGAGGCCTCTCTCCCTGGCTTGTGGACGGCCCTCTTCTCTGTCTCCCCTCACATGGTCTTTCCTCTGGGTACGTGCCTGCCCAGACCCTTACCTCCTCTTCTTAGAGGGACAGCAGTCACCAGAGGTCCAATCTAGTGACCTCATTTTAATGTAATTGTCTTTTTAAAAGATCCTGTCTCCAAATACAGTCACATTCTGAGGTATGGGGGGGGGGGGGTTGGGACATTGACCTTCGGACCTGGGGGCAGGGAGACACAAGTCAGTCCATGACACGTGCTGTCTGTGCTGTCTTCTCATCTTCTGGTCTCTGAGGTTTGTCCCGCACACAGTCCTCAGCCCAGGGCGATAGACTCCTTTTCTCACCACTACCAACTCAGCCCATGGCTGCCCACCCCCACCCCTGCCCCCTCTGCTGGCTTCTCCCCTCTGTGCACTCACAGCTGGCCAGCCAGGGTCCGGCAGGTCATGGGGAGGAAGAGCTCCCGGTCATGTCTGGGATTAACCGGCAGGTGAGAGAGGACCACCTCAAAAGTGGCCAGCAGAAAGTCTGGATGGCTTCTCCGTTGGCACTAAAGTCAGAATTGGAGCCGATGAGTGCTGGCCCTGAAGAGGTGACCTCTGGCAGAACGTGATGCCAGACCTCTTTACGTGAAATACAGGACTGGTGGATAAGGTGTTTGAAACATGGACTTGGTTTGCTCAGATGGCCTTTTTATTTTTCCTCACACCGCATTTTAAAAATAAACGTACTGAGGCATACTTTACATACCAAACAATTCCCTAATTTCAAGTGTACAATTCAGCGATACTTTTAGCAGACTTACCAAGTTGTACGATCATCCCCATAAATGAGTTTTGGAACATTATCATCACCCCGGTAAGATCCCTCATGCCCATGTACTGTTAGTCCCAATTCCGACCCCCTGTCTGAAGCAACCACTAATCTACCTCATGTCTGTGGATTGGCCTTTTCTGGATGTGTGATATAGACGGAATCTCTCAATACGTGGTCTCTTGTGCCTGGCTTCTTTCACCCAGCATAACGTGTCTGGCCTGTAGGCCACAATTATAGTATCAACAGTCTGTTCCTTTTTTATTGCTGATCTTGGTGGCCTTTTCTGTGTTTGCCTTAGGTCACAGTCACCAGCTGTTCCATGTGTGTGTGATCCTGGCCACTCACATGCAGATGGAAGCCATACTTCTGGACAAGACTCTGAGGAAGGAATGGCTCCTGGCCCACTCCAGGCCCCTGTCTTTCCCTCAGATAACTGGAGCCATCCTTCTGTGCCTCATCTTCAGCCTCAGCAACATAATTTATTTCTCAGCTGCTCTGTATCGGATTCCTGAGCCAGAATTACATAAAAAAGAAACATGATTCAGACCATTTGCTTCTTGTGCCAGATGTCAACCTTAAGCTACAACATCCTAACCACCATAAGCCAGCAGCAGGGTACCCGTTTCCAAAGGTCTAAAGTATTCACAATGGCTGATGTCTTGGCATTTTTGAGTGGGTTCATGTCAATAAGATATTGAACTGGGGAAATTTCTCTAGAGGTGCACTGATTCTGTATTATGATTTTAAAAGGGGAAGATTCTTAATATTTCATTAAGTTTTAAATTGATTTAAAATGGGTTTTTCAATTCTATTTAAACAGTTGGATTAAGCATACCACCCTTGTATTGTAGCTTGACTATTAAACACTTGAACGAAGCTTTACCACCCTTGTAGTATTACCCTTTGCAAATGGAACTTGCTTCATTTGATGAGTTCCACCTAGCATTGCCTCTGCTGAGAGCTCCACAGTGGGAGGGGAACGAGCCAGGAAGACCAGGGTAAGGAACCTGAGTAAGAGGAAGTGTGGGGTCTGTGGGAGCTCTGGGGACAGGGCAAACACTCCAGAATGGAGAGACCTGGTTTGGGGAAGGGTCTTCTTCCTTTCCCCACCTAGTAAGGGAATGAATAGAAAGGGTCCTCTTTCCCACAAGTCCGTTCTGCCTTAAAGTGCCAATTCCCATGTCATGTGGATTTGGATCTTCTTAAAGGTCCACATGGCTGGGTGTCCATGTTGTGTTTTTTCTGTTTTCTTGTTGCCAGTTTGATGCACAGTATTGTGTAGTACAGGTCCATTGTGTTATGGGTGGGGGCTGGCTGACTTAAGCCCAGTTGGCGGTGTTCATCCGTCACCTTTTAAACCAGTGGCAGCACGATATCTGGGGATATTATACATTTGATGTCGCTTCAGCATTTTAAATGCTGCAGATGTTACTGTCATGTGCAGAGGATGCTAAGACCTTGCTAAAGTGTTGGTCAACTGTAGTGATTCTCGAGCTTTACCGTGAATCAGAAACACTTGGTGGGTTTGTGACAAATGCAGATTTCCAGGCAAAGTCAGGAGATTCTGCATTTGTACATGGTTTAAAATGTAGGTCTTTTAGAGGAGATTTGCCCTAAATCTGAGCAAGTCCCCAGGTGATTCTAATGCAGAAGGGCCCCAGGCCAAACTTGAAGAGATGCTTTCCTCACGAATTCCAGAAGGCACTGGGCCTATCAGCTTTGCTGGGATTGACCTAGTTTTCAGCAATTTACCACCTAAGGATGTTTCCCCTGCTTTCTACTCTGCATGAGACTGAGCATTTTCTCATCTTTTGCACTGGGAGTTAAAGTTTAGTATTTCATGGTGTTTTCAGAGAGTACAGAAATGCTGATGCAAAACAGTTTTTAACAGAGGCCCATCAACCCCTGATCTGCACTTGCTAATGACTTAAGGGGCTGTCCATCACAAAGCAGGATCTTCTTTGCTGACTCAGGAACACCCCCATATCTTAGAATACTGCCTCTATGGTTAACTGGCCCAGAAACCCAAATGGCCTTGTGAATAGCTCATCGTCCAATCCTCTAAGGACAAGTAAAAATTTATATTGGATGAGAGTGGTCAAGAAATATGATTTCATTAGTTTTATTATCTGTTTACTTCCTCTGGGGAAGGTAGACTGATAAAATTATATGGGCTGGTAAATTTTTGTTACATTAATTGCCGTTGGATGACAAAATTTTGTTTTTGGCAATGATCTGACACTGTTAGTTAGTGGAATTTTACTCCAGCAGGGTCTGTGGGCTTCCATTTCATCTTGCTGTCACTGCAATTTTATGCTGAGAAGTACAAAGTTTAAATACCCTATTCTAGTAATGCCAAAGACATGAAGCTTTTTTAATATCTCTTATTTAGAGAGAGTAAAATAATGTTCTTTGTTTAGCTCAGAAATAGTTGAAAGGTAATAGGTGATTCATTTGAAGGACCTTTAGATTATTTAATTTTTGGTTATGTGGCTTTTTCATCATACTGCATGATGGAAAAGAAATGTTAAATCTACAAAATAGGAGCAGTGTTTCATAATGTTTTTAGATGTTTGGTAAACTTAGTCCCATGGTATACTTTTGGACAGTGTTACAAGTTAAAATTTGAGAACAGTTCCAATATACTGATTTGGAAGCTTCTAGATGTGGAAAATGGGTTCACATATATTAATTACAGTTAGGTATTAAGAGTAATGGGGGTAGAGTTTTGCGTAAGCCATCCCAGAAAGTCAAAAAGGCTGCCATTGGTTGAGCTGAAGACCTCACTGGGAAGAGGTCTTTTCATGTAGCGGCTCTCAGGGTTTTTTGAGTGTCTCAATTCGCCCTGGAGATACACCATTCTTCCATTGGTAGGGACTGCTCGCCACGGCACTGCCTCAAAAGGGATTTTGTGGGGAGCAACAGACACCTGATGGGATGTCCCCCCGTTCTTCCTCCCCTGGCTTGAGAAATACTACTCCAAAATTTCCCAGTTGCTACAGTTGGGATAAAACTTGAATGTGTTTGAATGAGGTCATGTAGTCAACTTCACCTTCCTCCGCTCATCTTAAGAGTTTCACTTTCCATTGCTCAGTTTTGGAGAGAAAGGAATTTGTCACTGTGGATTAGAATGAGAAGTGGGAGGATTTAGAAATCATTTGAGTACAAAGTGGTCTAAATATTTGGTCTGCTGTAGTCTTTCTCAAAGTGCTTGTTGTGGAACCCAGTTCACGTGAGAAGTTCTAAGGAAGGCAACGTGGAAGAGAATGGTGAGGTCACATGTGTTGGAGAGACGCTTCATTTGGCTCTGTTGTGTCCCAAATTTGTTTTGGCCATGGCACTATATGAAACAGCTATTAACACTGTATGACAACACTTTATAACATTAGTTGAATGCCAGCCTCTGATTTTCTAGCCAACAATGCATCATGGACGAAAAGGCAAAGACCCATTTCCAAACTCAGATGTTCTTTCAACTTACAGCAATGTCTGGTTTTCTTAAATTGTGTGGGAGAAAGAAAATAAAATTTATTTATTACAATAAAGATCTATTTCCCACTTGATTTGGTTATGTTTCACCTATCACTGCAAACGTGTTCGTTCGTCGTAAGAAATTCCTATACACGTGTGCATTGCTAAATCATTCTGTGAATATTTATTTTGTGCCTGATATATATAGAATGAACACTGTTTTAGGGGCTGGGGATAAGAGAAGTGAGGAAAACCCACCTCACTTGTGTGGAGGAAATGTGCTGATTGTCAGTAGGAAAAGATCGATCAGTTCAGATAGTGGTGAGTACTCTAAAGGAAATAAGCCTGGAGGAGAAATGCAGGTGGGAGGGACAGGGCAGGTGAGATTGGACGGCCACTCTGAGAAGCTGACATTTGAGGAAAGCCTTGATGGGCAAAAAAGGGCCCACTTTGCCAGCATGTTGCGGGGCCAGGTATTTTGGGTCGAGGTGGCATATATGCAAAGGCCCCAAGACCAGTAAGTACTCGTCCTGTTGGAAGGATGGAAATCAAGCCACTCATTCCAAAATGTGTAACTCTAGAAAATGTATGGATCATTTGACTTTTGAAGAATTGTGGAATTTCTCCTGGATATTCTCCCCGGGAGATTGTGCAGGGGGCTTTCCTCTGTCCTCTTGGTACTTGTATGAATGCTTCAACTCTCTAATACATGTATTTCAGACAAAGAGAGAGTTGCCACACCCATTCTCTTCACTCGGGGCAACAGATTTCTAAAATTGGCTTAATTCTTGCCTCCTCTAAAGCGTGGAACAAGGAATCTCCAAGATAATTTAATCCAGCCTTTCAAAAATGTGTTTGATGATGTAAAATGCACATTGTCAGGCCCAAATGGACAGATGCAGAAAACCTTGGGCGGGAAAAGTAGTCCTAGAGTTTTAAATTTTTATCAAAAGCCCCAAGTGATTTTTAATATAAGGAAGTTTAAGAAACACTGGTCTGGTCCAACCATTCTTTTTTTTTCACATCTGGAAAAAATAGTAGGAAGAATTCCCAGGTACTGGGGTGTCTGGCTGGCTCAGTTGATAGACCACAATTCTTGATCTCAGGGTTGTAGTTTTGAGTCCCATGTTGAGGGTAGAGATTACTTAAAAATAAGATCTTAAAAAAAGAAAAAGAGACTTCTCAGGCACTTTTCATCCTTCCCCCTTTTGCAATGTATATAACTCTCTTCTTCTCCAACAGTGAGAAACGTGGCTCCCATTATCCACAACGTATTATTTGCTCAATCTTAGAATGTACAGACTGTCATTTCAGAATTACCAACTCATGTCTGCAAAAAGGCTTACTAATTAGAATTCAATATATGTTTCAAATTCTTTTTGTCTTGAGCCTGAGGGCATATGGTCTCAAGAGTTTAAATTACTTGTGTTAGTTATGGCCCATTTATGTGTATGTTATTCATTTGAAATACAGTTCAGATCATTTGTTTCTTTTTTTGTATCAATTTTACAACCTCCCTCCCCCCTCCCCCCAGCTTGCTGATTTTATTGTGTTTTGAGTCTGTAAAACATTAACATCCAGTCATTCATTTTCAGATGGCCTGGGGCGAGTCACATGGCCGTGGATGTGAGACCATGCTGCAGCCACTGGGAGTGAACAGCAGGGCCACGAGAGAGCGCCCCAGTGTTGAGTGTGTTGAAAATGCCACAGGTGTCCCTCTCTTCATTGTACCACCTTCCCTCCAACACTCTAGGCTTTGGCAGTTTCTGGTCACTAGTGGTTATACGGTTCCACAGCTGGACTCACGTAGCTGGGTGTTTGAGTTAATTACGGTTTCCACCCGGTGACTTCAGCGTCTCCCCTGTGATTTGCATAGAACCCTCCCAGTCCAGTTTGGCAGTTTCTTATAAAGTCCAACTTACACTTACGATGAGACCAGAAATCCCACCCAAGAGAAATGAAAATCCCTATCTACTTAAAGACCTTTACGCAAATAATTAGACCACAGTTGCCAAAGGGTGGAAAGAACCTAAATGTCCATCAGCTAGTGGATGGATAAACTGTCATGTATTCATACAAGGGATTACTACTCAGCAGTAAAAAGGGAACATGTTACTGATACGTGCAACGCATGCGTGAATCTCAAAAGCATTTTGCCCAGCTAGAGAAGAGGCCTTCTGGAAAAGAGAAAACTCTAAGGGAGGAAGTCAGAAAAGTGGTTGCCAAGGGCTGGGGGTAGAGGAAGGTGACTGACCACAAAGAGGCAGCACAAAGAAAGTTTTGGAGTGGTGGGGGTATTACACATCTGATAGTGGTGGTGGCTATGGGATGCTCTGTTTGTCAAATACATAACATACACAGTACAACCGAGAAGGGTGGATTTTACTGGACGTAAATTATACTCCATGACCTGATCTTAGTAGAAGCCTCCCGGTTCTACTACCTCCCCATCTCCTACCATTATCCCTGGTCTGGATCTCTAATTCTAGGGGAAAGTGCAAATCTTTACTGGCTATGGGGAACCCTTCAGGGGAAGAGATAAAGACTGTGTTAGGTGTGAGATGCCTGTTTTTTTTGTTTTCGCTTTTGCCTTTTTTTTTTTTTTTTTTTTTTAAGAAAATAAGAGCTTTAGTATGGATAGAGGTGAGGAAGAAGAAACAGGCCAGGAGAAAAGCTGGGGTGGGGGCTCCATGTTACCGGGTCCTCAACTGGGATGGATTCATCTATTCCTTCCCAACATTTACAAGAGGGTAAATTGCTGGGCGCTGGGGTGCAAGAGCGCCACCTAGCGTGGATGTGGGGATACGCCAGTAGAGGACACAATAAGGAACAGTGACCATACTGGGATGGGAGCTCTGAAGCAAAGCAACACGTGCTGACAGGGTGCAGGGGACTGGGGGTATAGAGTAGGGGTTCAGCATCCGGTGCCAGGTCATTGACGAAGATCTGCTGAGAACTGAGTGTCAGAGGAAGGCAGGACTACTATGTGAGCCTGGGGCTCCGAAGGGCCACGTGCCTGGAGGGGTGCAGGGGGCAATGATAAATGATGGGTTTGGAGAGGAAGAGCCTCAGGGCCCTGTGGGGGTTGTCCAGCCCTGGGGAGGTACTGTGGTTTTACAAGCAGGAGGGTGACATGACCGGATCTGTGGTTTACAAGTGGATTTGGAGGGTAGCAGCAGAGAAGCCTGTTTAGTTACTGTTGCAGTCATCCAGACAAGACATGGTAGGAGCCAAGGGGATGGAGAGAAGTGGAAGGAGAGGGTCGAAGGCTATTTAATAGGCAGAGCTGTCAAGATGTGGTGAGTGGATGTTGGAACAGGAGAGGCAAAAGTCAAAGATGGTACCTGGGACCCTGGCTTGGGTGGCTGGGTAGATGGTGATACCATCCACTGAGGGGTAGCAGGTTCAGGGGAAGAGATCAGGGTGCGGTAGGTATGAGGTGCCTGTGGGACACCCAAGTGCAGAATCCAGAAGGCGGGGGACATATGGGTCTGCAGCTGAGAAGAACAAATTTGAATGGTATGTGAAGCCCTGGGAGTGCCTGAGGAGAGGCCTCAGCTAGCGACCAGGTCAAAACCCTAAGCTACATTTAAGGGACAAAAACAAAACAAAACAAAAGTCCCCCAAACAAACAACACACCTCATAAATGAGTTCTGAGAAAGATGGGCTTAGAGAGCTAGGAGAAAAAAAAAAAAAAGGCATAGGAAAAGAAGAATAAGAAATATTTTTAGTGCTGTTGAGAGGTCCAGTAAGATAGGGGTGGGGAGGGTCAATTAGGTTTAGCATGAAGGAGATGTTGGTCTTGGTGAGAAGAGTTCCAATGGAGAGACTGAGGCCAAAGCCAGACTGCAGGGTAACTAAGAGGTAAGTAGCCAGCAGTGATGCCTAATTCCTAAATAATACAAATCCCAACCTGCCATTTAACAACAAAGTTCTGATGGTTCAAAGACTCATATATAAAAAACAAAGCAATAAAGGCATTAGGAAAAAGCATCTTTATGTAGAACAGCATGGGCCAAGGATATGAAATTATGTTTATTTAACTAGTGCCTGGTTGAGGAGGTGGGAGTAGAGCCCCATGAGAGCACAGTGTAGATGCATACTTGATAGCCATCAGTTTAGGGGCAAATGTCAAAGTGGGAGAGAATCCGTTCATCTGAGAAAAGAGTGGTTCTGGACATTGCTCCTCAAGGGCAAGGACCCAGCTTGATTCATCTCTGTCTGCTGTTAAACCGAAATTTAACTGAGTAATTTAAAAGATCACCTTGGCTTCATTAAGTGACCCATGAATCGGCAGCATTCCGCCCAGCAAGCAGAGAGATGCTCCCGGGGCTGTACAAAAGGAAAGGTTTTTATAGGAAGGAGGGTGGGAAAAGGAAATCATTAGTGAGAGAAAAGACAGGATTGTTTCAGGCCAGGTCACCTTCCCTCAGGGTGAAGGGCAGGGGGTCTTATTTTGAGGATCATCTCATCTTCCTTTAGTGGGGGGCTGGGGGAGAGGGCAGATGGAGATGACGTCGCGGCTGCCGACGGGAAAGTTCCTGACTGACCGGTTCAGACTACGTTTCTGGCGAAGGTAGAAACTGCACTGAGGTTAGAGAGTAAGGCCCTTTTTGGGTGACTTGGCCTAGTATGAGGGACTCCATTTTGGGCCTGTGGTTTTCTTTTTAACAACGCCCAGCATCAAACGTTGTTAAGAATTTCATAACACAATGTGTATGCACGAAAGAGCTGGAGGAACCGGAAAGGGAGAACCCAGGAAAGGTGAAGGAGAGAACGAAATCCAACCTGATGAGGTGATGTGGAAGCCAGGGAGGGAGAGATGCGGGGCACAGCACAAGAACAGGACACTCCTGGGCGGGAACGCCTTTGACCTCCGAGTCGACCCTGGACTTGCCCTTCCATTGGACTTCTTCTGCTGTAGGGGAAAAACCCCCTCAGTTTCCTCCTGGGAAAGGGGGAGGGGTTGGATTTTACTACGTCTGAGGTCCCCGTTCCAGGCCCGCAGCCCTGACACCCAGACGCCGCGCGCTCCGGCCCGGCGGTCGCCTAGGAGACCAGCACCATTTCCGGCAGAGCAGTCATTTCCTCCGAGGCCCCGCCCCTTTCCCCGCGGGCGGGCGCTGATTGGCCCGTTTGAAATGCGCCGGGCGCGAGCTCACCTGGGCTCGCGGCGGCGTTTGCCGGCTTCCCGGAGCGCCGCGCCTCAGCCGCCGCGTCCCGCTTCCCGCGGTCCGTCCCTGTGGCCCGCCGCCCTCGCCAGCCCGCCCGATCGAGCCCGGCGCCCCGCGCGCGCGTCCGGGCAGCACGGAGCCCGCTGCCATGAAGCCAGCGTGAGTACCGGGCCGCGGGGCTGGGGCTGGCGTCTCCTCGGTCTGCACCGAGCCCCGTGCTGTCCGGGCCGCGGCCCCCAAAGTGGGAGCCCCCGCGTGGGCCGCTGAGGGGGCAGCCCGGGTGGCGGGGACCGGTCCGCGGCGCGCCCTCCGCGACTCCCCCTCACGCCGGAGTCCGGCGTCCCGCCCCGCGCCTCCCGAGGGCAGGAGAGGCCGGCCCACGTCGGGGGAGGAGGGGAACGGGGAGCCCCGGGCCGGGTGGGCTCCCGTCAGCCGGGGTGCCACCCGCCTGGCTCCGGGACCGCCGCCGCCAGCCCTTAAGGAAGTGCCCCTTTCCCGCCCGGCCGCCGGCGCGCCCAGGTTGCACTCGGCGGCGGGTGCTGCGGGCGGGGGTCGCCCCGCGGGCCGTGCCCTGGTAGTGGGGGCGCCGGGCGGCCTCCGTCCCTGGAGGGCCCTGGCCCCCCGCGAGCGCGGCGTGCTCTTCCGAGCCCAGCCGGTGGCCTGGAGGCCGAGACCAGGTGCTGTGGCGGGAGTCTGGGCCGGCTGACAGTCCCGCTCCGCCCCCGAGCGCCCAAGCCCGCATTCCTGCCCCAGACCCGGCGCCCGCGCTGCCCCGCGTCCGGACGCTCCTGGGTAAAAGCAACACTTTGCCAAACGCAGCTGGTTTTCTTAAGGGGCCGAAGTCAAAATCTTTTATCTTAAAAAAAATCGAGTTTAAGCAAAACCACAATACTTTGTACTGAAAACACTAATTTGCTTGTTTCATCTCGGAATGTGTTGAGAAAATATTTTAATGATCTGTAGTCCATGCCAATAATTACACTTAATTTTCGGGTTAAATGTTCATCTGCACTATAGATAAATGTGGGGGTTGCCTTGGAGGAAAGCCGCATGCTAGAGAAATTGGTGAAGTCAAATATCTTTTTCTTTGGATTCTAAGAGATCAAGAAATTGCAGGTCGGAGACTTAAATTTTGTCTGGGGACAAGATGATAGCTTGGAGAACTCAATAAACAATTGTTTCTTAAAAGTATAGACAGATGTTGATGAAAGAATGGATTTCCCCATCTACTTTTTTATCATTTGGTGAAGTTAATCCTTGTCAGTCTGCCTTGGCAATGGCTGTTGGAGCAGTGTGTGTGCTTGTGTGCATAGATAAATGCCTTCAAGATAAGCGTGGTCAATTATCTGTAGATTTTTCAAATTTGCAGTGCTTTTGTAAAATTGTCCTTCAAGAAAAAATGCAAGCTCTTTTAAATATAGAACTATTATCTAGTACTGAAACCGTCTCCTGAACCCAGTTATCCTTACTTTTGCATTGTGTGCCACAAACTTTCTTCCAATGCAGCTTATTCTTATGTTGGGGTGTAATGTTTTGGAACTGCTAAGGGAGAACTTTATAAACCCTAGGAAGGTTGTCTCTGTATGAATTACAGGTGAGGTTTTTGTATGTTATTTTGAACTGAATTTTTTTAACCTATGACCAGGAGGACTAAGACGCCCAGGAAACTTCTAGTGAAGAAAGGATCCCAAACGAGTCTTAAAGACCCAGTTGGGGTAAGGTCTCCTTATAAATATGTGTGTGTGTGTTTCTTCAGGCCTTTTCTGTCTTCTATATATACTTGGAAAGGTTGGAGATGTGGAAGCAGAGTCTGAAAACATTTAGTGAAATAGGTAAGGCTGGTTCCAGCTTTAAAATTTTGTTTCTATGGGGGATTCATAGTCCAGTAAAATGAAGTCTTTGGTTGTCAACTGCATAACTCCTATAACTAATTATAATTTGAAAAGTTAGATAATGAAAAATATTCTTCAACTGTCCTGGAGATTTCTTCCTGCTTTCTCGGAAGGCAGGGAAATTTCTGCTTGGATGAGTGTCCTCTCCCATCTTCAGAGCTGTTAAATAGTAACTGATTGCACGCTTCATAAAGACTCTGGTGTAGAACAGTTTGATTCAGTCCAGTAACTAATCATAATTGCATGTATTTCATGAGTTTCAGGCTTGGGACTTGCTTTTAAAGGCAAATGGCAAATAAAAGAAGGTTGGTTTGCTCTGGGATATTTTTCTCTCTCTCCTTCACTGGCACTGGAATGTGTCTCTTGTTTTAAGTTGAGGGAACCAGATAATTTGCACATACAGCTGAACAGTTTTTCCTTAACCCTATCACTGATTGAGAAGTCGTGTTTTAGATGTTGCGGTTATTTGTATATATGTATATTATTATACTTATTTGTATATATTTACTTGTATATTAAATGTTAAGCTGCCAAGTTTTATTTGACATCCAATTTCAAAGAATTCTAACAGCTTTTCAAATAATTCTCCTTGTATGATGTTATTAATTTTAGAAATTTTTGTATTAACGGTAGTATATAGCTTTATTCAATTTGTGCCAGTATAATAATAGTGTAGAGAAGCTGTGTGATTTGATGCTTTTGTTATCCGAATTTGTTTTAATTCTATGTGTATTCAAAATCCCTTGTATCTGATATACCTGTTTACATCTGACAATTTCTGGTAGCAAGTTTTGGTTTTCATAGCTCTAAGTTTATATAAATCTCTTATGTTGAGAAACCAAGTGTTGGATGAATGAATGGGAAGCTTAAATGAAAAGTAGTCAACTTTCGCTCTGGAAGCACCTTCCTGTAATTTCAGGTGTACTGTAGGGTGCGCCCACTGAGCCTTCCTGATCAAGAGTGCTGCATAGAAGTGATCAATAATACAACCGTTCAGCTTCATACTCCTGAGGGTTACAGACTCAATCGAAATGGAGACTACAAGGAGGTAATTCCCATTGGAACCAAGCTGTTTTTACTTGAGATGTTCTCTCCTGAAGGGCTTTACCATTTTTTACATTTAACACAATTCATGTTTCCACTTTTTTGAAAAACTTGTTTACTTCCCTATAACCACCATATATAAAGTGTGGATAGGCATACGTTTGGTATATTTGAGTTTAGAGGATTGCTTTTACAAGTTAATTTCTTGTACTGGATTATTTAAGAGCATAGGTTAGGGATCATTTAATGAATGATTGTGCTGGGTGGCTATACACACAGACACACATACATACAATTTCATGTGCATATTAAAATAGCAATAGGCATTGTGTATTTTCATGAAGTGTTATTTTTTAGTAAAATCTTGAGCAAAGTGAGTTTAGTTCAGTTCAACAAACATTACACTAAAGCTGCAGGGCAGAAAGAGATTTTCAAAAATGAGTAAGGCACAATCCTTCCCTTTACGGGGCTTACAGCTGAGTTGGAGGCACAGATAGAAGACAGACCGGTGTGCTGAAAGAGATGGACTATGGGAATGCAAGAGGAAGCATTGATTCAGACTGTTGTCTCTACTTTCTAGCAGCCTTTCACTCTCGTGCACCCTGCTCTTGTGAGCTTGTCAGAAGCCTACCAGTGGCCTCTGGACTGCTCATATTGGATGGACACCTCTTGTCCTCATAATCTGTTTCTCAGCAGGACCATCCTTCCCGAAGCCCTCTCCTGTCTCCTGTCCAGGTCTTCATGTTCTCGGCTCTCACCGTCCACCCTTTGCAGGCTCCTCTTCCTTTTCCAACCTCTCAGTAGTGGGGTGGACTATACCCAGGGCTCTCTTCTCTACACTTTCCCACACCTTTAAATGTTGGTTATACGATAATAATTCTGGAGTTTTATCTTCAGCCTAGACCTTTTCTCACCTCTAAACTTGAACATCCACTGTCTGTATGTCATATAGGCATCTCAAATTCTACGTGTCCAAAAGAACTCTTGATTTTTTTCCCCCTTTGAATCATTTCCTCCCTTGTCTTCTCTCAATCAATGGTAGCACCATGTGTCCCCGCTTGTATCCCATTCTATCAGTTCTGCTCCAGTGTGAAACTGTCCTTTTGTTTCTATCTCCACTGCCACCGCCTGTCTTGGCCTTGCTATTATAATTACCAAGACTAGTGCTTCTCAAATGATCTGTGGTGAAGGAACAGCTTTTTAAGATTTTCAGTTTATCGTGACTGATACTTTCATGTAGCTTTGCCATCTGAGTTAGTCCATAGAGAAGTGATTTGATAATCTGTTCAATGAGATGAGCCTAGTGATGACATGCTGGGATGTGGCAGCCATGTCAAATGGCTACAGAAGTTTCTAAACTTACTCCAGATTTCTCTAATTCTCTCCTTCTAGGGAAACGAAACAGTTTCCAGAGGGGCACTGGCTTGCTGGCCATACTTTGAAATCTAACTGGACTGCTTGCTTCTTCTCTGAATCTTACTCTCCAGTCCATTTTCCACAGAGCCGCCAGAGAGATCTTTTAAAGTGTAAATCTGATCTGACCCTTTCCCTGTTTAAAATCTTTCAAGGCATAAAGTCTTTAAATGGGCAAAATCCTGCTTAATTTGTTTCCTATCTATTTCTCCACGGTCATCTCTTGCTAGTCATCCAGTCCTTTGAGTTCCTTGGTTAAGCCCGGATCCTGCTTCAGGGCGGTTCTCTTGGTGTGGACTTTTCTTTCTCTTGGCTCTTATCATGGATGGCTCCTCATCTGTGGATTTCAGCATAAACATCACCTCCTGAGAGAGAGTGTCCAGACTACCTTATCAGAAGTGGCAGTCTTCCCTGCTTCTGTCCTG